CAGCTGTCACTGGTGCAGGCCTCCTCTGGGCCCAGCCACCGTGTAGAGCTGAGGCTGGGCCATAGGCTCACGTACCAATGCTGGCGTTGTAGTTTGGCGTCCCTGCCACTCACTAACTGTGTGACCTTGGGCAAGTTATTTAACTTCTCTAAGCTTCATTTTTCTCTCTAGAAAATGGGAAAACTATCAGGACCTATGCTGTAACTTTGCTATGAGGGGTAAATGCCATAAAGTTCACAAAGCATTTGGTCCATGCCTGGTGAGATCTCAGGGCTTGATAAATGCCCATGGTGGTTATTTAAAAAATTCCTTCTCTACCTTTGGCTTCTTTTTTTTTTTTAAACCTCCCCTTTATCCTCCTTCTCCCCTTCTTCTATGTCCCAACTGCTGGATCCTAAATCCTTGCTCTTCTCCAGGTCCAAAGTTCATTTGCCAGCCTGGAACCAAAGACCATCCTTTTTTTGAATGAGTGATGGGTGCACCCCAAAACTTAAAGTTCTTGCTCCCTTCCTGCGCATCGTAATAACCCTCTCCAGGAACTAACATCTAGAGCTTCACAATTGTTTGCCTGTTTTTTTTTGAATCATGCTTCTATTCATTATTCCAAAGTAGCTGTTCCAAACCCTTTCCACTCTCAGGCATCCCCACTACAGCACACACTATACTTGTAATTATTCAACCAATTATTTTAAATTATTGCTTCACATCTGTTGCACTGGGTTAGCTTGCCAGTTCTGTGAGGTGACAACTTCATCTGACTTACTCATACCACATCCTCAAAACCTTGCACATGGAGACAGATCGCCTTCTGGGGAGTCACCCAAAATGAATAAAGAAGATCAAGGCTGTTCAGCTTGATAGATCTCACATATGTCCCTTCCCTGACCATTTCTCCTTATCTTCACCCACTCCCTGTCCCTCTTTTTTTGACTTTAAGGAAGACAAGTTCTTCCACTTCCCCTCGGTCCCTCTCCTGCTCTAGGATTCGCCTTCCCTAGACACTGTTCTTTGGTCTCTGTCACCTCTCTCTCCTCTCATTCCTTTCCTTCTGCCTGCAACCACATCTTGCTTTGCAGTCCCGTGGACCTGGAAGGGGAACATGGTTCTGGTTAGCTGTGTAACTGGGAGCTGTACTTGACTTCTCCAAGCTTTCACGTGGACAATGAGAGTGATACTATCTCTGGATCACCATCGTTGTGGAAATAAATTGAGCTGCTGTTTTAAAATCCCCCCAAAGCATGGCCTATAATAAATAAATAAAATTGCCTGCTCCGAATCCTAAATAAATTAATAAGAATAAAACCCTACCTCCTAGGTCATATCACCTTTTCCAGCCAAAATCAGATCAGACACAGACACCTTCATTTTCTTGCACCCAAACTAGAAATTTCCCTGCATCCGCATGCGGCCTTTCCTCTTTCCATCATAATTCTGTTCTCGGGTCTGTTTCTTTTCTCTTCTTAGGGGCAACATTTTATCAATTAAACTCTGTCTTTAACTTGAACTCCTTTTACTTAGCTAGTCTTTACTGAGTAGACCAACATTCGAACATATTCAAGACTATCTTACCAAAAACACAAAAACAAAAAACAAACAAAAGAACCCCCAAAGACTCTCTTTCCTAACCTCCTATTTCCCTCCAGCTCTGCTGCTCCTTCTCCTCCCCTTCTTGCAGGAGACATCTGAATGAACTGCTTCTGCTTCCCTTCACTCACCACCACACCCACCACAGTGTGGCTGGGGCCCCCTTGCCCCACTCAAACTCTTCCTGCCAATGGCTGCTGAGCCTTGTCCCTGAATCTGATGACCTCTTCTCAGACCATATCTAGCTGGACCTCCAGGTAGCACTGGACACAGTGGCCACTTCCCCCTCCTTGAAATGTTCACTCCCCTGCCCTGTGCAGTGCTGGGTTATCTCTGGCTCTGTCATGCCCTCTCGATGTATGTTTATCCTGTAAATAGGTATAATCATGCTATGTTTTAAAAATTATTATTAGTAGTAAACACTGGTCTTACTAAACGATTTCTAATCACGCAAACCAGATTTCTTAATTCTAGGCTTAAGCCTGGGCCTTCGCCTTGCGGTCCCCCCTTCCTGCAGTTCTCCGTCTTCCCTTTCCTTCGTTCCCTGAGCTTCCTTCTGCTCAACGTCACAGCTCAGCTGAGGACACTCTTTCTCCTGCCATCTTCCCCTGCTCCCTCAGGTCTGGCCCTGCCACCCCTCCTGGGTACTTTCACAGCAACCTGCGCTTTCCCTATCTTACTGCTTATCATATACACCATAATTCCCATAATTATGTTTTCTTGGCTCAAATTGCCTTTTCATTGCCAGTTCTGGGAGAGCTTAATTGTGCCTGTGTAAAGCACCTAGAAGAATGCTTGAGTAAATGCATGAATAAATGAGTGAATGAATGGAGATGGCATTATTGTTGCGTTGGATTGGGAGTTAGTAAACGTTTTTTTTAAATGGTACCTGTTGTTTAATTGCGTGAGCTCAGTTACTTACTTCCATGAGCTCAGTCAAGCCACTTCTCTAAGCATTAGTTTCCTCATCTATAAAACGGGAAGAAGGAAAGCAACACTCCTGAGGCGTGAGAGCACTTTTGCAGGTATTAGCTTTTTTAACCCACACAAAGATGCAACCAAGTTGAGACTTAGATGCAAGGAGATAATGCCTGTGCCTTGTCTAGCAGGGGACCAGGCGATTTCCTTAGCAGGGCCATCTTCACCAGTACCACCAGGGAGGACAGAAAGGGGATTTGCTTTCTTTCCCTGTAACTAGACTCAACTTGCTCACAAGTGCCTATTTTTGCTTAGTGGGAAACAAAACAAAATCTAACACCAACCAACAAACTAAAGGTATTTATTACTTCAATGTATCTATACTAGTTTAAAAACAAGAGGCTTTTGCAAGTTCCTGTTTCAGGTCCCTTCAAATTTCCTCTTTTAGTTAAGTGCACAGTGTTTTAGGGTCTCATCCCCCTGCTCTTCCTTTCCATAGCTGCCCTGGCTGCAGTGGAAAGGAGGCAGGAGCAGGCCTCTTGCCTGTGGCCCTTTGGTCCTCCCTGTGTTCACTGACAGTGTCCATGGCTCATGTTATGGGGGACTGGCTGCTGCTCAGAGGCTGCCTTGCTGAACCAGCCCCGTCTGGCTCTCACGTGCAGTGAGTCTCCTTGGAGGTTTCAACAGCTCCAGGTGGCTTTCCATCTGACCTCTGCCCCTGCTACAGGACCCCTTCTGCAGTGGCAATCTCCCGGCAGACAGGCTCTCAAATCAAAGTTCCGTGGAACCTGGAAAAACTTCTGGATCTCCTCTATGAGATAAGGGGTGGCAATAAAAGCACCAACAGAGGATTTTATGGGCATGGATTTTTATGATTTGTTCTCTGATGTATCCCAAGACTTTACTTTGTATATTAGTAGATTAAAATGTGTGTTGAAGTGAATGAATGATTCTCAGGCCATATCTTTGCCTAATCATTGCCATGTCACTGTTCTCCTTGTCTTAGAGTTTAGGTGACCATGTGTCCGGCTCTTTGCCTGTGGTGGTCATAGTTTATGCCCACTGTCCCCATGTAATTAGCAGAAGTGCCCCTCTTCATTCTAAAAATGTCCTGGCTTGGGTAATGAATTTCATGGCCACCCTTACTTTTTGCTAAACACTTTAATTTCAGGTCTCCAAGCTTAGATTTCTTTGTGATTTAAACTTAGCTCTGGGAGTTTCACCAAAATTCTTTCCTCTCTCAAGTTCCTGGCTCTTGCAATGAAATGTTTTGGCTTTTATGACTATTGTCTGAGCATGGGCATTAAAACGTCTATTCTGAAGACAAAGATATACAATGACTTTTTAATTAGGAGAAAGAAAAATGTTTCAGGAAAGTAAAAACAAACATTTAAATATGTCAACAGCATGGTGCCAACCAGCCATGAAATGATCTTGGGCAGCACACTGCCCTGGAAGATACTGGGCAACTTCAGATACTCAGGCAATCCCATTAACCAGAATTAGGAACTGTTAACATATTGCCCATCTAACAAATTTTGGAAAAGACGTAAAATATAGCCAGAGTCTTTTTTAACCAATGCCCTCACTTTTTTATTCTAGGCTGCATCTATCCTGCTCCTGAGGATGGTCTGTAGAAAAATACAGTTCTTATCTGATTAGAGGAGAAGGTGTTAAGGGTTAAGACATTTATGAAATATATTTTAAAATAAAGCCACTAACTGAATGCATAGACTATTAATGAACATTTTTTCCATTTCCAAATCTATGTGGTAACTGCTCATCTTATTCTGATTGGAGGCTCAGTTTGGCAATATGCATGACAGTGATTCATAAAAATGAAAGGGCACATTAATTGTTAAATCATTCGGTAGAAAATTTATAATTAATCTTAATTAAAACTATAATTTGATAGGCAAGATCTTCTAAAATAAAGGACTTATGGAATAATATGGGGCTTCAAAGATTTTTTTAAAAGGAATTGGGAACCCGGTCTGTGTAATAGAATGGCATTACTGACTGAATTTTAGTGGGGTGTTTACTTGCAAACACTTTCCAGGTAGTAGAGAAGGATTTACTCTGAGGCATTCACACCCTCCTGTAGTCGGTCTTGTAACAGATGTTTTTCAGGGAGGGAATGAATTGCATATATTACTGGCCTAATTAGAAACACAGGCTCACCAGTAGACCCAGGGGACAGCCAACTCAGCATTGGGGGATAGGCAGTGGCCACTGAGGGCTGATTGGAAATGACCAGGACTTCGCATTGTCATTATTACTGTGGCATCCCAAGCATTTCTCCCTAATAGCACCATAACCCCTGAAGAAGAAGCATGGCTTGCCTCTGAGGGTACCTGTGTGGTTAAAGACTGGAATCTTCAAGAGGATGTGTAGAAGTGGTGGGGTTGGACAACCAGGGCTGCTGTCTTGCTTCTACAGTTCTTGAGCCTAAGTCACTTCCTATCTGTGTTCCTTTCTACCTCCCTCTACATCCACAGATGGGGTGGCTGCATTCCGCGCCTTCTTGAAGACGGAGTTCAGCGAGGAGAACCTGGAGTTCTGGCTGGCCTGTGAGGAGTTCAAGAAGACCAGGTCAACTGCAAAACTGGTCTCCAAGGCGCACAGGATCTTTGAGGAGTTTGTGGATGTGCAGGCTCCGAGGGAGGTGTGTTGAGATTGGCAAGCATCTTGTCAGACCTCTACCCACAGCTCCTGGCTCACATCTCTCCTGGGTGGGGCTGTGAGCCAGGCTTGATGGGGACTTTCTTCCAAACTGAGCCTCACTGCTCTGATGGCTCTAGATGAAAAACGGATCATTTTTAAGGTGCAGAGCCCAGAGTTTCCATAAAAGGAGCTCTATCGGGAGTGCTTTAGCTATCTGTCAGTTAAACACGTACCAGCTGGAGCTGTGTCTATAGGGATTCTGCAGGGATAGATGTCCCTGAAGCCATGTTAGTCTTCCTAGGGGAAGGCAGCATGGCTTAATGGAATGAGCATCTACTTTGGAATCTTGTTCCAATCTCAGCAACACCACTTGCTGGCTGGGTCAAGTTACCTAGCCTCTCTGAATCACATCTTCCCACATGTAAAAGGGGATAATATAATTGACCTTTCAAGACTACTTTGAATATTATGGATAAAGCATCGATGCAATATTTGTCACTGTTTAGGAATGAGTAATTATAGTCTTTTCTGTTAATTTATACTAATTTGCTATCATTATTTATAATACTAAAATGAATTCCTATCCACTGCTTTTCTGAGCCACACAATAGAGTTTGGGAGGGTTTCATAAAAGAAAAATATTTGCTATCTATGAGTTGAGGTGCATCGCACACCTAGAACTCTTCAATTACGCTTTGACTTGAAACACAGAAGGTCTTTGGCCCGGTGGCCAGATGCTGCAGTCTCTTGCTTAGAACAGAGATGTACATTCTGATCATAGTCTCTCTCTCTGGGGCATTTGTTTCCTTAGTAGTTAAGAAAGAACAAGAGGGCATGCTTCCTTTAGGGAATCCCATTAATATTTATCTCCAGTCTAATTCTTTGCCTGACATTGTAAAGACCCCTAGCTTCTGAGTTAAGGAACTGGGGTTCTTGCCGTGGCTCTGTTACCAACTTTTCATACTACTTTAGATGAGCTTTTCAGTATCTCTTTTCTTTGGTGTCCTTCTTTAAGAATTGAGATGAAGACTATCTGGTCTTTGGACCTCAGAGGATTCTTGCTGGTATCACAAGGGATGACCTTCATGAAAGCAGTTTGGACCTGCTAGGACCTTGGCCCTTGAGGGCTTGTGACCATGCTCTCTTTCTGTGTCTCCAGGTAAACATAGACTTCCAGACTCGAGAAGCCACGAGGAAGAACATGCAAGAACCATCCCTGACTTGCTTTGACCAAGCCCAGGGAAAAGTACACAGCCTCATGGAGAAAGACTCCTACCCCAGGTTCCTGAGGTCCAAAATGTACTTAGATTTGCTGTCCCAAAGCCAGAGGAGGCTCAGTTAGACCTCAGATGGAGACTCGTGGAGATCGCCAGCTTTCCCCCTCTGTTTGCTGCCCAGACCATATCTAATGTGAAATGTCATAGGTGTTCAAAAGCAGTGGCAGGTTGGGAGGCTGGGGGTGACAAAAGGATGAAGGGCCATTCCAAAGTGTGATCCAGCCACTGGAGCATGGACTCTATTCTGTTCGCCCATGTTTGTGTTTTGGTGAGTGGTAGCACCTTGCCGCTGTCACCCTTCTCTGGGTCAGCAGCTTGCCCCCCATAATGCCCTGGGTCATCCCCATTGAGAAGGCAGATCTGCTATGCTGGGCTAATCTGTAAATAATGCAAATGCAGTTTCCACCAATTCCATGCCCTCCTCAGATAGGATTCCTGACTCTCCAACTCGTTTTATGCCCCTGTGAGGAATATCTGGAAGACTCTGGCTCACATTTGTGATTTGCTCTCACAATGTAATGGCCAGTCTGGGTGCTGGGACTTTGCAGTTTAGGAGAGAGGACTCTGTGGAATCCCAGGTTTCTAGCACTGACATTGACAGGTGGCCTCTGGGAAAAGGGGCAAATGCTATGGAGTTGGCTGTTTTTTCCATTTCCATTGGACCAGTGTGAAAAGCTGTGATCACTGCCCATCTTAGACTATGAAATTCACAAAACTACCCTACCCTTGAAATTCCAGAAAGGGTCTTGGGAGATACCCTTCATGACTTCTGATATGGAGCTGCTTTTCAGAGAGAGCTTGCAAATCTTCCTCAGTTCTACCAAGAAGTTTTCTAGAAGTCGGATGACCAGGTTATGGAGCACCAGTAGACTTTTGTGCAAGGGGCACCATGTAATCTTTCTGTTGCTTAATGTAGTCTTTGCCCTTGCTGCCTTGTGGCATCATTCATCACTGATACCTTAGAATGACAGACTTCTTGGCAAAGGGAGGTGAATTCTCACAGCATGGACAGCTCTCATGGTGCCTAATACTTTCCCCATCTCTCCCCATCCCCTCTTCCATGCAAGTCATGTAATTATGATGGGGGAGAATGGGAACTGGGCTGTGACTCTCTTTCCAGCTTGCTTCTTGGGAGCATGCCTTCTTAGAAAGGTTCCTCTTATGAGGACCACCTTGGCTATTCAGCAACTTCCTTCTTGATCTCTGACCTTTTGGAATTGAACATGGAACAGGAGGTGATGCTAAGATCACTGTGAACAACTGGTTGTGGAGAATCTTCTTAAAATACTTTCATGATACCCTGAGGCTGCTTTTGGAAATGGGCCAGGAAACTCTTCCTGGAGGATGAATGCAATGCAATCTAGCTGCCTAGGAAAAAGCTGGACTTCAGTACAAGATTATAGTGCCAAGGAAATGAATCCTCAGCAGAGAGACCAGAAAGTGGACGAGGAGTCCAGAAGAGGCTGGTCTCCAGGTGGACCAAGTCCCAGAGAATGTGGTGACAGTACTATTGGGATCATTCACAGCTGATGGATTTGGATTCATTACAGGTCTCCAAAGTGATCAGCTTGACTAAATGAAACAACTCATGATTAGGCATAAGCTCTGGAGTGCAGGTGACTGAGACGTGGGCTGAAGCATTCTCCCTTTGTGGAGTGATGGGCCTTTCTAGCTCTATGGGGGGCCCCAGTGTTTGCATTCCTGCCATAACTTCCTGGACCTCTTCTTTCCTTGGCTACAGCTAGGCCAGGCCAAAACGGCTCTTGAGTCCCTCTGCCGTGAGGGTCCCCTGCCCTCCCAAGACACACTGCATCTGTGGGTGAGGGTTGCTGTGCCCCTGTGCACTATCAAGGAGAGCAAGCACACATGCCACCTGGCCCTCACACCGAAGAGACCTGTGGAATTTCCTGCTCAAGAACTCTAAAGCCTCAAGTGGGTGTTCCCAGTTAGATCAGGTAGTATTCCCCTGCCCTTAATGGTTAAAAAAAAAAAAAAATTCTTAGCTAAAGCTGCCAGAATTAATTGAATGATCAAATTCTCAAACAGGGTATTTTAAACATTGTTTACATATGAAATGTACATTTGCTGCCAACTCTACTGTCAAATATGAGGTGCATGTAAATTGGAATGGCACAGAGTCACGCAAAAAGGAAACCTTCTAAGAGGGGCCTTTTTTTTTTTT